TGATATTGTGAAACAGGAAGAAAAGGTCTAAAGGAGTAGGACAAGTGGGAGGGGTAGGGGAAAGAAAAGGGAAAAGAAAAAATATGAGAAAAGGAAAAAATGGAAACAAAGTCTTTGTAAATAGGGAAGGGAGGAAGGGGTGAAGGAAGGGCAGGGGAATGGGTAAAAAATAAGATCTAAGATACGTCATGTAAAGGTTCAAGATCCCAATGATGAATGTAACTGTATTATATACTTAAAATGTACCAATAAACTTAATGAAAAAAAATCCAAGCAGGGTTTTCCCCAAGAAGTTAACAAGCTTCCTATAAAATTGATAAAGAAATACAAAATACCAAGAATAGCAAAGGCAGTCTTGAAAAAGAATGAATGTAGAGGATTTATAGTCATATATGTCAAAACATATAAAGCTATAGCAATTTAGTCAGGATGATTTTGGCACCACACAAATAAACTGACCATAGTGGGAACAAAAATTTCGTTCTTATGATTCTCTCACACAAGAACATCTCCCAAGGTAGGTGCTGGAAGTTGAAATGGTGGGGGTTGTACTTTCCTGTGTCGGGCATTTTTCCTCCTCTCCTATTCCTCAGTACTGGTAGAAGGTGTGCTTTTTAAAGGCTAGACTATCTACCATGACACCCACCAACCCCACACCTTTGATGTTTACAAGTTCATGGAAGTAGAGGCTCAGAGGAGTGGAGGAGCAGGTAAATGGTTGAAAGTTAAGGAATATGAGCACTATTGAAGGTACTGGATGGGACTGTGCAGGCCTGGTGGGCTCAATGGAGCCATCTGTAAGGCCTGGAGGTCCAGGGTGTCTGTTCAAGGCCTCATGCTCCATTACTATGAGCAAGTGCCCTCTCCAGAGTACGCCCACATGTCCTTGACTGGAGCAGGCGCCTGAAGAGCTCTGGTCCTTACTAGCTGGCAGAAAAGAACTCTTGGGCAGGGCTTAGTCCTACAGACTAGGAAGAGTCAGATGACACTGAATTGATCTCATCACTAAACCTTTCTCTGTCCCCAAGGAGCTAACTGCTCAGTATAAGGAAAAATGGGTTGCATTTTCAAATAAACAAACTTAATGAAAGAGGAAAAAAAATCCAGAAACAAATTTTCCATATATGTACTTATGTAAGTTTATACACAGCCTCACTTTTTAATAATTCACTGGTCTATTTGTGTATTTTTCTGTACATGATAGTACATGATAAAGATAAACAAAAAATACTTAGAAATAGACCTAAAAGGACATTTATGATTATTGTAGAGAAAATTATAAAAGTACATTGAAATATATTAAGGGAGGGCTAAATAATTGGAGAATCATGCAATAGTAGTAATAAAGATAATCATTTCCCACGAAATTAATGTCTAAATTCAGTGCATTGCTACTCAGAATTCCAGGATGATTTTTTCAGACACCTTGACAGGCTGATTCTAAATGTCTTGTTTTTTTGAGATAGCATTTCCCTATGTAGTTCAGCCTGGCCTTGAACTCATTATGTGGTCCAGGCTGGCCTCAAACTCGTAGCAATTCTCCTGCTTCAGCCACCTGAATGCTGGGATTATAGATGTGTGCCACCATGCTCAGCTGATTTTAAACATTTTATGGTAAATTTAAAAATAGGTTGAAAAAAGAAGGGAGCTTGCCATACCAGACATCAAGACTTACTTTATATGTAGCTTATTTTAAGGTATAATTTATAAAGGAATAAACAAATATAAAACAGACTGATGACTCAGAAACACACTTGTGAATATAGAAACCTAATAAAGTATATAGCAAGATGGCATTCCACTCTGTGGAGAAAGGATGAAGATGAATTATTCAATAGTGTTTGGAATATATATATATATATATATATATATATATATCAGATAAATATATATCTCAGATAAATCCCTATTGCATACTGAACAAAAATGTATTCCAGGTGTATTTACTGTCAAAAAGAAAAAATTTAAACTTTTAGAATTTAGATGGTTTATCCTTTTGACCATAGTGTAAAGATTTCTTAAGACAAATGAAGCACAGACCCTAGAGGCAAAATAAATCTGCCATTATTAAAACTACAGAGTTTATGCATAAAATATATCATGAACTCTTAAAAGACAGACTAAGAGAAGATATTTACAATTCACATAGCCAATGGGAAGATTTATAAGAATGCTTATTAGTGCTCTTCAATATTAAAAGATCAGATATAGTCTTATGTTGATCAACAGGTGAGTTGATAATACAATAGGATACTACACAACATTGAGAGTCAGAGTTGTATGTTAATGTGACTAAGTTTCAAAATCATAACTTTGAGTGATAAAGTCATATTGCCTAAAGGTATATATAGTATCATACTTTATATAAAGAGTACATTTAAGACAAGGTTGTACATTATTAATATTGATTGATATTAATCAAATGTAATGAATTAAAAATATTTTTGCAATTGATAAACTAAATTCAGTATGAAGGTTACTAGTGAGAAGAGAATGGCATTGAGACTTTACAGAAGGAATCATTATGTCTGTAATGTTTTCTTAAACTCAGTTGTAGATACTTAGCGTTCATTTTATTTATACTTTGGGTATGCTTGAAATATTTCATTAACTTAATGTTCAAAAGATTTACACTTATTTACATGAAAGATTAGGGGAATTGAAATAATAGAATTAAGAAAAATTAATGAATTTAAAAGAAAAGAGATAGTATGATAAATAAAACAATGACTGGTTCTTCTTGTTTTTAGTAATTCCTATTGCCTTTCTGATTTCTTTTCTTTTTTTTTTTTTTGGTACTGGGGATCTAACCCAGGACCTTGCACTTGTGAGGCAGGTGGAGTGCCACTGAGCTAAATCCCGGCCTTGCCTTTCTAATTTCTTTGTTGAAAAATATACTTAGAGATAGGAAATGACATGACTAAGAAAAAAGATAAAAGACAAAGTATTAGAAAAGTTTCAAAGGATATAACTATGTTAGATGTTTTTTAAAAATATGAGAATGCTCTATATAAAATCTAGATGATATAAGTGCTGTTCTTGGACAATATGAAATACCAGAATTGGCTCCATAAATGATAAAAACTTTGGGCCAAAGAAATTGAAAGCTTTGTTCAAACTTACTTTTTTACTTTGAAAAACAAGCTGATCTATACCTGTTTTTACTACTGCATCAAATCATCAAAGAGCAGGTTTTACTTAAAATGTTGAATGTTGTACACAGAAAAAATATGGAAAACTTCTAATTCATGTCACAATTTTTACATAGTGGAACCTAATAAGTACCTTTTTCCTAATTTATAAAGAGGCTTGGGGTGTTTATGTGTTTTTGGGGTAAGTGGGTGGCTTGCTTGTCTATTGTGTTTATTATCTTTCTTCTCTGTGGCATCAAATGATGTCATTTTTCCAGAAGCCTCAGTTCAAGTGACCATTATTGGAGATGAGAACCTCTCAGACAAAAAACAGAAAGAAGATATCTTCAGTCAAAGAGTAATGACTAAGACTGCCTGGCCTGAAGAAAAAGAATCCTTGCAAAAAGTCACTGCAGGTAGCTGAATGGGTTTGTCAGCCTGCCTTTATTTTCTGGTCCTCTGAAATGAGACTGTTCCCTTATGAATATAAACGAATGTGTTTTTTAGTCTTTTCTTGCTATCTTCAGTCTTCCTCCATCTTGCTCATATGTGAAATACTTAAAGCATTTCTAGCCACATTTTTGGTATGCTTCAGTAGTTAAAATTGGTATTTTGTAGGCTGTTTCAGGTTTTACCTAATTTTTAAATATAATACATAAATTAATCTGATTGCCAGAAGTTTATTTAATGGGCTTTTCCCTTTACTGGTAAAACATTTCAATGGCATGAGATACTGATTCTCTAATACCATTGTTGTGCATGAGCCTTTATTTTTTAGGAATTCATCTTGTTTACTTCCAAATTGTCTATGTAGTTATTTTACTTCAACAGGAATATACTGATTAAAAATACCTATAATAGTGTGTTTATGTTAGGATTACCTTTGTCTGTGAGATGAAAACAGAAACAACATTGGTTTAAGAAAGATAGGAGAAATACAAAGTCTAGACAGACATCTAGGGTTGATGTGGTGCTCAAACTATCACATGACAGCACTTACTCTCTTCTATTGCTCTGTAACTTTTTTGACCTCCATTCCCAAACTGTAAGTATCAGCCCAAATCCCAGCTATCAGGAAGAAGAGAAAAGAAAAAACCATATTTTTTTCTTTGAGGGTACTTCATAAAAGTTACATTTACTCTGTACCTCCCCTTACATCCTACTGGCCAGACTTAGTCACATGATCACACCAAACCACCTTGCCAGGAAGGCCGAGAAATATCTTTATTCTGGTAACTGTATGTGCTAATGTTAGAGTTCTATATTACAGGTAAAGGAAAACAGGTATTAGAGTACAGCTGATATTTCTGCCACAATTGTAAACTAGAAGCACATTTTAGAGCAGAATTAGCAACTTTTCTTCTTTATATATTACTTTTTAGAGAAGTTAGATTGTTCTGGCACCTGCCTCACAAGCGCAAGGTCCTGAGTTCGATCCCTGGTACCAAAAAAAACCCCCCAAAAAGTTAGATTGTATTCTCAGAAATACTTCAAAATTTTATCCCTTTATCATTATTGCTAAATGAATGTTCTGGAAGCAGTTTTGATCTCTATTGCCCTGAACAGTAAAATCTAAAGTGTTAGCAGTCTCTCAGAACACTGGCACCAGCTCCCAACCTTTTCAATACTAGTTCTCACCTCTTTTCCTTAATAGATTCCGCAACCAAATAAACAGTGTATATACTCTATCTCCTAGAGATGCTCAGCATCTTTCCAGTCTCCAACATTTGTAGCTGTCTTCACCTAAAATGCCTTACTTTTTACCTCAAGTTGTATCCCATTTTCTAACACCCAAATCAGTTGTCCAGAATTCTGATAGTTCTTGATTAGATTTTCTTTCTTTGAGTACTTACAACTTTTTATCTCTTGTGGTGTAATTCTTTAACTTTTTATGACATCGGTTTATATAAATGTTCTTTTTTCTGCATTTTACACCATTTTCTAAACAAATTTCAGCTTTTTAATTTTTTTTCAACAACAGTACCAATGCCTTCATATCGTAGATGCTTTAGAGGCATTTTAAATATTTTTTGTTCAAGTTGCTATTGCTGACGTGTTACTTTTCCTCTCTTAGGTTCCAGTGATGCTGCTCCTGCAGCGGACTCAGCTCAAGTACAAGACACAAAGACTGAAAGCATACCTGACACTAAAGCCACTAAACAGAATGAGATCCATATTAAGGGGACCAGTCCTAAAGAAGCCTGGACGGAGGAGAAAGAATCCTTACACATAGATATTTCAGGTAATGGGATTGAGCATGTGTCTGTCTGTCCATGTATATGAGTGTCAGTGTCTGTGTGATTCTATTTAATTCTTTTTTAATTAAGTTTATTGGTACATTTTAGGCATACATTATGATCACATCCATCATTGGGAATTTGTACCAGTACATGATATATCTTGGTTCTTATTTTTTTCCCATTCCTCTTCCCTCCCTTCAACCCCTCCACCCCACCCTATATACAAAAGCTTTGTTTCCCTTTTTTTCTTCTTTTTTCACCCCCCCACCATTCCCCTTCCCCTTTGAACCTTTTCTTCCTATTTCACAATATCTATTATACATGTTGGTCCTCATTTATACTTTTAGTTTCTCACACCAGAGAATCAATTTGGTATTTATACATGTGAGTATTTATTTCACTTAAGAGTATGGTCTTGAGGTGTGCTTCTATTTTATTCTGATGCAACTTCACAATTTAAGCAGATGATTTTTTCTTTATTGTATACAAATCATTTTAATGCTATTTTCTTTATCTATTTGGACATGCATGCATATTGAATTTTAAAATAATTGTTACTTCTGGGAAAAGATACAGTAGCTTAGAACCAGGATTATACGCAAATAGAGTTGGTCTTTTGTATCCATGGATTCTTCACTTGTGGAATCAATTTTATTTATTTATTTATTTATTTGGTACTGGGGATCAAACTCAGGACCTTGCACTTGTGAGGCAGGCGGCGGCACCACTGAGCTAAATCCCCAGCTGGAATCAATTCTAGATCAAAAGCAGTTGAGGAAAAAATTATGTCTATATTGAACATATACAGACAGACTTTCTCCTTACCTTTCTCCTTACAGTGTAACAACTGTTTATATAACAGGAAAATGTGCAGGCAAATAATGCAGATACCTCCCATTTTATACATACATATGTGTATATATATTATTTTTGTATATATGTGTATATATATTATTTTTGTATATATGTGTATATATCATATATACACCTTATATACCTATTTTATATAAGGCACTTTTGGCATCTGTGGGCAATCTTGAAAGATACTTTGGTATATTAGGTCTCATTACCAAAACAGGGAAAACCTAAAATCTAAAGGTATTCTGGAAGACCATGACAAAGACAATGACAGCATCAATATGATTTTTTTAAATTGCAAAAAAAAAAGCCAAAATCAGATTAATTTGTGTTTGTCTGTTGCCCTATTTTTATGAAATAAGAGAGAACCATATAGTACACAAGCCATTACTACCTAGCTGTTAAGCCTCTCAGAGGAAGACAGAAGAGTATCCGGATCATGAGAGGAAGAAGTCAAGGAGCTAATCTACCCACACTGTATTTTGGAAATAATTCCAGTTCAGTTGCTTACATTAAAAATGTATAAAATTAATTATCTTCAACAAAGGTAGCAATACTACAAAATGGGGCAAGGATAGTCTCTACAACAAATGATGTTTGGAAAACTGGATAACTACATGTAAAAGAATGAAGTTTAATCCTTACTTTATACCATATACAAAAATCAACCCAAAATGGAATGGAGACCTAAACACAAGAGCTAGAACCATTAAAATTCCCGAAAGAAAACATAGGGGGAAAACTTCAAGAAATTGGAGTTACTAGTGATTTTTTGGATATGACACCAAAAGGACATGCAGCAAAAGTAGATAGATGAGACAATATCAAACTTAAAAACTTGTGCATCTCAAAGGAAACTATTAGGAATGTGAGTAGGCAACTCAGAGAATGGGAGAAAGTATTTGCAAATCATATGTATGATAAGGGGTTAATAACTGCAATAATAGGAAATGCCTGCAACTCAACAACAAAAAACAACCTCATTTAAAAATGGGGAAATGGCTGGGTATGGTGGCACATGCCTATAATCTCAGCTAATCAGTATTGCAGCCTCCCACATCTGTGTATATACATAACTACATAAAACTGTATATGAACAGTTTTCTTCTATTTGGTATGGTGAAGATTGCCAGACTGAGTGATTAGAACTACATGTATAATGACTATACTTAATATATATATATATCCATATTCACATTTATGCTTGAGCTAGAATTGTTTTCTTAATTTGATTTTAGCTAATTTACTATAAGTGTATAAAATCTAATTTTAAATATGTATTTTTGTCCTGAAATCTTACTAAACTCTTTTAGTTCTGGTAGCTTTTTATGGATTCTTTTAGAGGAAGCAAGAATACAGTTCAGTTAGGTACATTTAAAATTTGAGATGGCTGTGGTATCCAAGTGGATATATGAAATGCGTAAGATAAGCATATGAATCTGGGGCTCAAGAGAGAAGTCATAGCCTCAAATGTAAATTTGAGAGTATATCACCATGAAATGGTACTAAATGCCCCAAGAAGAGATGCAGTCATCTAAAGGAGACTGTAGAATGAGAACATTCCCTGGAGTTGGCTCTGTGTGGAGGTCATTGATCATATTAGCAAGAGCAATTTTAGTCTGGTGGTATGGTTATACTTGCGAGTAATTTGAAGAGTGAATTGGGGTAGAGATAAAGGATAGGAAAAAGCCCTTTTATAAAAGTACTGATCCTATTCATGAAGGTGGAACCTTCATGACCTAGTCACAGCCTAAGGGTCCCACCTCTTCATACTGTTGCATTGGGAATTAAGTTTTAACGTGGATTTGAAGGGTCACAAATATTCAAACTATAATAAATTATAAGATATATTGCATTCAAAAATACTACTTTTCATATAGAATGATTACCAAAAAGTGGAGCTTGAAGGTAGTTTTATGTTATATATATTTTACTACAATTAAAAAAAAAAAACTAGGGCTGGGGATTTATCTCATTGGCACTGTGCCTGCCTCATAAGTGCAAGGTCCTGAGTTCAATCTCTGGTAGTGCCGCCCCCCCCCAAAAAAAAACTGGAACGCTGGGATTGTACTCAATGGTAGAGCACTTGCCTACTGTGCACTACTGGGTTTGATCCCCAGCTCTGCAAAATAAAAGAGGAGAGTGAAGATGATTCACAGAAAAGGATTTTTTTGGTACCGGGGATCGAACTCGGGACCTTGAGCTTACAAGGCAGATGCTGGAACCACTGAGCTAAATCCCTGGCCCTAGAAAAGGATTTTTTAAAAATATGAAATATGGAAAAAGACTTTTCATTCCACCCATTTATTTACTTATGATAAGGTGAAATCTCCAGGTTTTTAGTTAAAAACAGGGTTACCAGTGCTCATCTCAGTTTCATTAGCAGGAGTAAATTTTTTACAAAAGAAATACACATATAATTATACACCACATACAACAGGTGGTGAATACATACAGCAGCTGAACTTAGGATCTGAAGAACTAAAGTGTTCCTTGGGGTTGGCATAGCTGGTCAGTGGCAGGATACAGCCCAGAATCAAGGTCTTTGATGCTGCCAGTCTGGCAGCTAAGCCCAAGCCATGAGTCTTTTGTGCAGGCAGTGAATTTTCTGAAACTTTATATAAATTGTTCTTTCCTACAATCTTTATTCTGTATCTGAAAAACAGTACAAGTAGTATTGCTGAAGGGAATACACATGTTAAATTCTTTCAAAACTTTGTTGTCTCCTTTTCAGAGTCTGAATGTCATTCTGAATTTGAAAATACCACTCATTCTGTCTTGAGGTCAGCCAAGTTTTACTTTCATCACCCAGTGCACCTACCAAGTGATCAAGATACTTGCCATGAGTCTTTGGGAAAGAATGTTTTGATGGAGCAATCTTGGAAAGATTTTTTTCAGCATCATTCAGACAAGCATAAAGAACACACTTGTCTTTCTCCCCCTTATCAAAATATGGACAAGACTAACACAGATTATACTAGAATAAAGAGCCTCAGCATCAATGTGAATTTGGGTGACAAAGAAGTGATACATACTACTAAAAGTCAGGGCAAAGATCGTCCAAAAAGTACTGTACAGATTAGTGATTCACAAAAGAACTGTAAGATCACCTCAGAGCTAACAACTCAGCACACTGTGAGTTTGAATGAACTCTGGAACCAGTATCAGGAGCGACAGAGGCAGCAGAAACCTCCTGGTGTTCGTGACAGGACAGAGCTATCCTTAGTGGAACGACTTGATCGGTTGGCTAAACTTCTTCAGAATCCCATTACACATTCTCTCCAAGCCTCAGAAAGTATGCAGGATGATAGCAGAGGGGAGCAAAACATTAAAGAATGGAATGGTAAACAGCAACAGCCAAAAAGCAAACTTCAGAAGAAGCGGTATAAAAGCCCAGAGAAAGGGCATAAAAACATAGGTGATCTTAAAAAACACAAGGTACTTTCTGATCACCAAACTGGGGTGCCCAACCAGATTAAAATTGAGCAGTTTAAATTTGATAAATATATTCTGAAAAGACAGCCATGTTTTAATTATATCAGCAGCACTTCTTCAGATTCTCGGCCCTCAGAGGAAAGTGGATTGCTCACAGATACTCCTACCAACATTCTTTCTACCACCACTTCTGTGGACTCGGATATATTGACCCAAACAGATAGAGAGGTGGCTTTGCATGAAAGGAGTAGCTCCATTTCCACCATTGACACTGCCCGATTGATCCAAGCTTTTGGCCATGAAAGAGTATGTTTGTCACCCAGACGAACTAAATTATATAGTAGCATCACCAACCAACAGCGGAGATATCTTGAGAAGCGGTGCAAGCACAACAAGAAAGCATTCAATACAGGACACCCCCAAATGACTTCTGAGCACACCAGAAGTAGACACATCCAGGTACATGGCTACAAATTCCATCTGGCAATGTGACTGCTCTTTTAAATGGACTTTTTAATTAATCTCTGTGCACAGGTGAAAAAAAGCCACTTGCCCTTTCCTCACTATAACATTTCTTACCAACTGGAAAAGAGTGAGAAAGTGTAGTACAGTGCTATTGTGAGTTGTCATTCTTTTCATCAACACTCATTTACCAATTACCTCTTGAATGAAGGGCTTTGCTGCTAGATGCATCAGAATCTGCAAAATACCCCTGGCGTGTGGGAGCTTCTAGTTTAGAATGACCTCTATTTTAAACTATGCTGCCTGGTTTTTGTTTGTATTTTTTCCTCATGTCTTTCAAGAAATATTTCAGGTGCTTTTAAACACACACAAACAAAAAATATGATTTTTTTGAAGTAAATGAACAATTGGGATAGAAAAATTGAATCTGGGATGAACTATAATATGATTTTTAAAAAATAAAGAACTTTGAGTGAGGGAAAGAGATATTAAAGGTAGAAAGGACAGAAATGTACCTATAGATGTATATGCTAGAAGTTAGCTACAAATTTGGTATTCTGTCTTAGCACATAGTGTTGCTAGTATTTTGTGATCAATTACACTGTAAAAAGGAAAGCAAATTTTCAAAAGCATTCCAGGTATTTTTGATATAGGCACCTAAGGGATATTTTCTCATCTGTCTTTACGAAGAAGGCATCATGGGCTGGGGATTTAGCTCAGTGGTTTTGCTGCCTGCCTTGCAAGCACAAGATCACAAGTTTGATCCCCGGTACCAAAAAAAAAACCCCAAAAACAAAATCAAAAAAGGCATCACCATGTAACAGCCCTCCACAGGGCTCCTTACAACAGATTTCATAACAACACCTTAGGTAGTTAGTAAAGGCAAATCTTTTTTTTTTTTTTTTGGTAGTGGAGTCTTGATCTCAGAACGTGCCACTGAGCTAAATCTCTGGCCCTCATAAAGACAAATCTTAAGGGGTCAACAAATACAGATCATTGCTTTATCCAAGAACAAAATTTAGAGTATCCATCCCAAGAAGTGTTCTTTAAAGAGAGATGCATTGAGGATTAGAGATTAGAGTTTATATTCACTTTACTCAACCTTTTAACATTTATTTTTGTGTATTTTATAATGTATAAGTACACTAGTGACATAATCACATAATTTATAAACATACCTATTTTGTAAATTTGTGCTAAAAACATATTTTGTAGGAGTGAGTGATTGAAAAATTTGGAGAACACTTAGGAGGTATGAGGTATGCAGTTTACCATAAATAGTATTTCTCATAATTGAACTTTTTTTTTTTTGGATTGGGGATCGAACTCAGGACCTTGCCCTTGCGAGGCAGGTGCGATGCCACTGAGCTAAATCCCTGGCCCATAATTCAGTTTTTGGTAGGTATTAAATGTCAGTGATTACGTATGTTAATACATGATTTTTTAAAAGAGGAATTGAAAATAGTACAGACATGGAGATAGGTAAGATCAGAGTAGAAGGTGCATATGTGAGTATGATAAAAGACACAACATAAAATTTACAGTTTTGACTATTTTAAAGTAAAAACTTCAATGTCATTAAATACATTTACAAGTTTTTACAACCATCATCACTATTTAGTCCCAGAAATTTTCATCACCTTAGTGGAAACCTTGGTCCCTTAAGCAGTGACTCCCTATTTCCCCTTCCCACCAGCTCCTGGAAACCAGTGGTCTACTTTCTATCTCTCAGGATTTGCTTGTTCTGGTAATTTCATACAACGTGTGATCTTTATATTAGGCTTCTTTCCCTGCTCCATCTTTTTTCCATTTATATGTTTTCCCCCCAGTGGCTACATTGTTTTACATTCCCACTAGCAACACACAAGGATTTCAGTCTTCCCACACTCTTGCCAACAATTATTTTCTCTTCTTTTCTCTGTATCTCTGTCTCTATTTCTGTCCATCTCTATCTCTATCTCTCTGTGTGTGTCTCGGTCACATGCAGAAACACAGTGAGGTAGTGTCTCATTTTAGTTTTGGTTTATATTTCTGCAGTGATTAATCATGTTGAATGGGTTTTTATGTGCTTATTAACCATTTGCGTTTATCTTTGGAGACATGTCTTTTTAAGTTCTTTAACCTTTCCGAATCTGGCTGAGTTGTAGGAATTTTCTGTATACAGTGGACCCTCAAGTTACAACTGGCCTGACATACAAACAACTTGGGTTAATTAGGTTAATGGAAGATTCATCTGCCTCTTGTTATCTATAGTGTGTACCAAGGTAAACATCCAGATCTCAGCTGTACTGATTTAGTTACAACCAGCCCTCAGGAACAGATCTAGTTCATAAGTCAAGGGTCTACTGTATTCTGGATATTAACTTCTTCAGATATGTGATCTGTAAATATATTATAGCACTCCAGATTTTCTTTCTTGCTGTCATTCTTAATTGTCCTCTTTAACATAAGTTTTTTATTTTGATGTAGTCCAATTTACCTGTTTTTTGTTGCCTATGCTTTTGATGTCATATGCAAGAAATCACTGCCAAATCTAGTGTCATAAAGGTTTTCACCTTTTTAAAAGAGTTTTATAATTTTAGCTTTTTTCTTTTAGATCTTTGATTTGAGTTAAATTTTATATATGGTGTAAGATAAGGGTTTATTTACCCTGTTTCTTTTACATGTGGATATTCAGCGTTTGCAACCTCATTTGTTGAAAAGACTGTCTTTTCCCCATTGAATGTTCCTTGGCACACCTGTCAAAAATCATTTAACCATGTGCATGTTCATTTGTGGGCGCTCTATTCTATTCCATTGATCTATATGTTGGTCTTTATGCTAGTACCATACTGTTTTGATTTACTGGATCTTTGTAATAGATTTTGAAAGCAGGAAAGTGTTCGTTTTTCAGGATTGTTTTGGTTGTTCAGAGTCCCTTGAGATTTTATATGAATTGTACTTGATATTTTATTTTGTTCTGATACTGTTGGAAATACAATTTCTTCATTTTGGATTTTATATACATATGCATATATATGTATACATATATGTTGACCTTGTGTCCTTGTTGGATTCTTTAGAATTTTCTGCATATAAAATCATGTCACCTACAGAGATAGTCTTATTTTTTCCTTTCTAATTTGAGTGCTTAAGTTTTTTCTAATTGCTCTATCCAGAACTTCCAATATAATGTTGCAGTAGAAGTGACAAAAGCAGGTATTCTTGTTCATGATCTCAGGAAGAACACTTTCAGGCTTTTACCATTGAGAATAATGTCAGCTATAGATTTTTCACATATGACTTTTGTCATGTTGAGGTTCCATTTTCCTAATTGGATGAATGTTCTTTTAAAGGGATTTAGTTTTTATCAAATGTTCTGGAGCATCAATTGAGTTGTTCATCTAGGCCTTTTTCTATTAATATAGTATATATTTATTGATGATCTTGTGTTGTTGAACCTGTCTTGAATTTCTGGAATAAACCCCACCTGATCATGTCAGATAGTCCTTTTCCTGTGCTACTAGATTTGGTTTGCCAAAATTTTGAAGAGGACTTTTGCATCTCTATTCATAAAGGATATTAGTAGTTTTCTTCTATCAGAATAATCCTAGCCTCACAGAGTAAGTTCCTTTTCTTTTTTTTTGTGTGTGTGTGTATGTGTGTTTTTTTTAATGATGGGTTTGAGAAGGACTGATGTTAATGTTTGATGCTAATTCTTTAAATGTTTTATAAAATTCACCAGTAACACCATCAGGCATGTGTTTTTCTCTGTGAAAGTTTTTCTTACAACTGATCCCATCTCTTATTTTAAATCTGTTCAGATTTTCTATTGCTTCCTGAGTCAGTCTGTGTCTTAGTTACTTTTCTCATTTCTATATTTGTTCTGGTCACTTCCAAGTTAAGTTATGTGTCCTTCCTTCAATTTATTTACTATTTTACTATTCCTTTTTATCATATCTGTACCTAACTTTCTTAAAACTCTACCATCTTTTTCCTGTTTTATTTCATGGTGGAGTAGCCTGCAAGAGGGTGCAAACTCCACTAAGTTTCTGTAACCTCCAGAAACATCACATTCTTAGCATGACTTCAACCACCTGAGTCTCCATTCTACATCATGTATGAAACTGAAAATGCTATGCTAAGTGAAATAAGTCACAAAATGATTCCTTTCTAGTCTGGGTAATATCCCATTTTATGTGTGTACTGTACAGTATTTTGTTTATCCATTCATCCATTGATGGACATTTGGGTTTCTTTGACATCTTAGCTGTTGTGAAGAGTGCATGTAATGTTTCAGTTTTCCCAGCACCATTTACCAAAATAACTATGCTTTCTCCATTGAATGATCTTGACAGTCAAGTCAAAAGTCATTTGACCAAGTATCTGAGGGTTAATTTCTGGGTTCTCTGTTGTAACTGGTCTCTTTGTCCATCTTTTTGCTAGTATCATACTGTTTTGATAGCTGTATCTTTATAATATGTTTTGAAGTCAGAAAGTATGAGTCCTCTAATTTGTTCTATTTTCCATATTGTTTTTGGTTATTCAGAATATCTGTTAATACTATCATGAAAAATTAAGAAAGTGGCCATGTTGCTGCCCACCAACTCCTACACATGCACACCCTCCAACTAACCAAATTGTTATGTTATGTGAATTTTATAGCAGCTTATTATAGTAATATAGTTACTACATTGACTAGCTTTACTTTCAAGAATTAGAGGGACTGGGGATGTAGCTCAATGGTAGAGTGCTTGCCTGGCTTGCACGTAGCCCTGAGTTTGGTCCCTGTCAACCTCTCCCAACACACATACACCCCAAGAAATAAAAAGGAGAAAATTATAAAAATTTTACTCCAACTTTTTAAGTAAGATTGCCAGTTATTTTACACTGGTAAGGCTTTTAAGTATAGAATCAATATTTACCAAGAGGTTTTTTTCGTATAACTAAATGCAAGTTTATTAATTTAAATAATTCTTTTGGGTGGCAAAATTTTAAATAGATATGCAGAAAAGAGC